TTCCTTTGCTTTCCGTCTACTACCTTGACTGCTCGCCGACTTTCGCCGTTGCCGTTCAGGGAACGAGCCGAAACGGAAACCTGCGGAAACGGAAACCTGCGGAAATAGGTTTCGTCACGCTTTCCGCAGCGAAGCCCAGATTGGCGCAAATGCGGAAAGAGAATCCGCATTTCCGCGTTTGCTGTACGGCGGAAATTGAAAAACAGATTCCAGGCATGCGTTCGCCATTTAAAGACTGCGTTTTACTCTATGGAGTTATTAGATTAAGTCAAATGTCAACAACCACTGGCCCCGACCTGGGGGCTGCCGAAGTCATAGAGATTGACTGTGTTTCTGCTCAGAAGAAGGGTTTTTGATAATTGATTCCACAATGTCCGTAAACGTGGTTGAAGTTGAACAGAGCCACGTCGTTGCAGTTATCGTTGTGCGGTGCCATTTTTAGATACTTTAGCCCTCTCGCCTTTTTTATTCCTTTTGATTTTTTTATTTTGAATTCATATTGTTTGGACGATTACTGGATTAATGCACAGTCAGCATAGACTTGTCCGTGAGGCGTGCAGACATGCCGGACGGGTATGTAAGGCATGCAGACATGTCACTGCTCCGCAACGGACAGAGAGACCCATGTAACATACGAGTGGCAATTTCTGAGCATCCCAGAGCAATCCGTCAGCCAACAACACTATGGGGGTGGTATACGATAGGGCTGCTCAGGCCTGGGGCTCAGGGTTCAAAGAGAGGCGGGCTGCTTGAAAGGGGGCAGGGTGAACACCGTCAAGGGTGTTGGCACACAATAGTTGATCGCTTGGCCCCCGCCACCCCCAGTAATACGTTTAGATGGCTCTACCTTCGAGCACGATTGGAATCCACCAGATTCTAGATCCCACCGGACAGAACCGCACTGCCACAAGCTGGTTTCAGACTGTCCATGTTATCGCCACACTGAGAAGAGCTAAAAAACATCGTTACATATTCATTTTATAGTTTTCGCAGCTTTCCGCAGTTTCCGCAGCCTTTCCGCAAAGGGCCTCCCGATTACGAAAAGTTTCCGCACTTTTCGTAATCGGGAGGCCCCAACCTCTGTCGACAGTTGGCCCCAACCCCTCACTCCCTACCTACCTTCCTACCATCCTACCTACCCACCTACCGAATCCATCCATCCATCCATCCATCTATACACACATACGTACACACATACATACACACACATACATACATACATACATACATACATACATACATACATACATACATACATACATACATACATACATACATACATACATACATACATACATACATACATACATACATACATACATACATACATACATACATACATACATACATACATACATACATACATACATACATACATACATACACATACAACCACGTGCGCGCATGGAGCGAGAGAGGAGGCCCACACCCCAACCGCGGCGGAAAGCGGATCTACCCCTCTGCACCCCAACCCCGCAGGGCAGGGCAGGGCAGGGCAGGGCCCGCCACCCTCCCCTCACCCCCCCGCACCCGCCCCCACTCTCACCAGGCGCCTGGTTGTGGTTGCCCAGCCGGTAGTTGCTAACCACCAGCGCCTGCAGCCGGAACACCACCCCATTGCCCAGCTGGACCTGGGGCGGAGAGGGGGGAGGGCAGGGGTGAGGGGGGTTCAGTTGGTAGTTGGTAGTTGGCCCTACAGTTGGCCCACCGCCTCCCAGCTGTCCATCACCGCCACAGTGCCTGGCTATCTCTGTGGTCTCCCGGGGCCCGGGCACTCCAAAAAGTCCGGCAGTCAGTTCCCATCAGGTGATGCATGCTGGTGGGTGGGTGGGTGGGTGGGTGGGTGGGTGGTCAAGTTTCGGCTCGTTCCCTGATACAACTGCCTCTTCGCCAGCGCTTCATCTTCCGCGGCAGTTTCACGAGCCCAGAGTTGCAAGCTACGACGTAGGCTTTCGGTGCTTTCAGTTACTGCAAAGCAGCCACGCAATAGTCCAGCCTGCATGCCGGGTGCGACTATGGCCAGCAAGACCACCTGCGCAATGCGCTGGCGCACCTCCAAGAAATTTATATACACTTGTACAGGCGCATTTTGCGAATCGCACGCGCGCATCCGCACGGCAAAATTCGCTCCTGGCTTTTTTGGGACGATGTACGAACTGTTTTCTCGGCACAGTACGACCGGACACATTTGTGCGAAGGGGCTGCTTAAATAGGGGGGTCCTTGTGAAGCAGCTGCCCACGTTTCTAAAGCCTGTATGTTGTTGGATAGTAAGTTGCAGAATGGGGCCAGGCTGGAGAGGCAAGTGCAGTGGCATAATGGAATGTAGATGAGTAGAAGCTGTTTCCAGGGCGCTTGGCGCACGGCACAATGTACATGCAGTCATGTCGTCGCAAGCGCGTATGCAAGAACAACAGGAACAACAACCAGAAGAACAAGAACAGCACCACAGGAACAGCGCGTGCACAGGCCACGTTGCGTCGGTCCTTTGCTATGATGTAGGAACGAAGAATAAGGCCTAGGTTCAAGTTTCCTGTTGCGCGTGGATGGCCATGCCAGAACAGGCAACATGATGGGTGAACTCGCACGCTACCAACTTCCCCGAGCACGCGACGAGCGGACATAGAAAAGAGCGCAGCGGGCCCCCCCCTTTCCCCCAACGCTCACGCAATAGACCATCCCAAGCGCTGCTGTCCGTATGGGCCGCAGCTGCCGTTCACACACGAGTTAAGTCCGACATGTATGCACCGTGAACATGTATGCACCGTGAATGAAACCCTAAGTGTGATCGTGCCCAAATACAACAGCACTGCCCAATGTCCAGAAGCCTAGCGCCGAAATCGTGGGACCCTGTCCGTCAAGCGTTAGGTGTCCAGTTGCTGTGTGGGCTAGGCGAGCGTGGCTGGGGCGTCATCGTCTTGGACTGTCACGGCGGTGGGCGTGTGGGCGCTGCCGGCGCGTTGCCGGCTCATCGCGTAGAAGGCCGGGCTGGCGGAAGGCGGCCCGCGCAGCACATTGTAGCCGCCCGGCCCCCGGGCCTTGAACTGCGTGATGTAGAGGGCCTCCATCTTTTGGGCTAGAGCAGGATTGGCGGTGCGCAAAGCGTATGATGGTCGACCCCGCCGGCTAAAGCTACACGTCCCCAACTGAAGATATTCTCGGTGGTTTACCAGCAGGTGTTGTGCTTCTTGCTGTCTGATGTCCTGAACGCTTCCTCTTCCCGCAGCCGTTTCAAGCGCCCAGTCTTGCAAGCTACGTTGTATGCTTTCATATCTTTTCATATCTTATTCAGCTCAGGCTAAGCAGCCAGCCAAAAGTCCGAGATGCATACCGCTTGTGACTGCGGCCAACATGCCCTGACGAGCGGCCTTTCGCCGAAAAAATTACATACACTTTTACAGGCGCATTTTGAGAATTGAACGCGCGCATCCGCACGGCAAAATTCGCTCCTGGCTTTTTTGGGACGATGTACGAACTGTTTTTGGGCACAGTACGACCGGACACATTTGTGCGAGAGGCTGCTTAAATAGGGGGGTCCTTGTGAAGCAGCTGCCCGCGTTTCCAAAGCCCGTATGGTGTTGGATTGTAAGGTGCCCAAGTACGTTTGCGAGGAAGAGAATGTGGCCAGGCTGGAGAGGAAAGTGCAGTGGCATATTGGAATGTGAGATTAGCGTAAGCGAGTTACAGGGCGTTTGGCGCACGGGCGAATTTACGTGCATACCTTTCACCGTAGCATCAGTCCTCAGTTCACTTTTTGGAACGAACATCAGCATAGGTCCAAGCCCTCTCGCTTGGCGGGATATGCAAACAAACATCCTGATAGGGGTAAACTCGCACGCTACCGAGCATTCAACCGAGCACATGCATGCTTAGTTGAATGGTGAGATGCGACCCCCCCTTCATTTCGTGCTCGGCAAGCCTGCCACCGCGTACCGGATATGTTAGCGATGTTACAGAGACGCTGCACCTTGGTTTCTGTGCGCAATGCGTACGCTGCTCGACCCCGCCGACCAAAACTGTTATACTTTGCCCAACTTTGTAATTTGACTTTACTATGAACAAGGTGCTGTATACGTTGCACTACCAAAAACGCGACCGTTTGCTTGCACACAACTGCCTCTTCAGTTTAGTCGGAACCATGTGCATTATGCGCTGCGCTACCGAAAGCAGGCGCCTTATGGCTTGCACACAACTGCTTCTTCGCCGAACGCTTCATCTTCCCGCGGCAGTTTCACGAGCCCAGTGCTGCAAGCTACGACGTAGGCTTTCGGTGCTTTCAGTTACTGCAAAGCAGCCACGCAATAGTCCAGCCTGCATGCCGCTTGCGACTATGGCCAACATGACCACCTGCGCAATGCGCTGGCGCACCTCGTCTTTTCCGCCAAGAAATTTATATACACTTGTACAGGCGCATTTGGCGAATCGCACGCGCGCATCCGCAGGGCAAAATTCGCTCCTGGCTTTTTTGGGACGATGTACGAACTGTTTTTGGGCACAGTACGACCGGACACATTTCTGCGAGGGGCTGCTTAATGACTTCCCTGCAGAGGTCGGCAAACCCTGAATAACTGTCACGGGTACTGGTGCCAGGGTCGAATAACTGTATGGAATTTTTTTTGGTAAAAGCCGAGGAAAGAGTGCCTGCGGGCCGATGTACCAAACTTACTATGAGAACCTCTCAAAGCTAGCGTTTACCTCCTTGTAGAATGGAAGGTTTGGTAACCTGATGATGAAGTTTATAGCTTCAAAACTGCGCAAATCTGCCTTTTGTGGGGAATTTCTGCACCCTGACGTACGGCTGCTGTACCAGCGATGAAGAATCTGCAACGGGTACAACGGAAGGACCCGCTGTACCAGCGGCGTTTGCCGACCTCTGCTTCCCTGGGGTGTTTGTACGACACGGATGAAAATGACTAGCGAGACTCTCCCCAGGGGTGCTTGTACGACACGGATGAAAATGACTTGCGAAGGTTATAAAGGCGGGGGCAACGAGACTCTCCCCAGGGGTGCTTGTACGACATGGATGAAAATGACTTGCGAAGGTAATAAAGGCGGGGGCAATTAGGGCGGGGGCATTAAATATTCGCTTTCGTGGGCTGTAAAATTCCTTTGATGCCTGTTCACTTGTGGTTACCCGAAGCTCATGTTGCTGCTCCTACCGCCGGTAGCGTACTCTTAGCCGGCGTGTTACTAAAACTCGGTGGTATTGGTTTCTTACGTTTTATGTTATCTGTTGTGCCAGAATCCTGCCGTAGCGTTATGGGGTTTATAGTGTGGGCATCTTGGCGTATTACATATGGCAGGACATTTCGTTATTAAACCTGTCTGAATAAACGGATTGGCGTGTTTTTTTGCTGTTGCAGAAACTGCCGCCATGAAGAAGGAATCGCGCGGTTTTGGATTATCTCGGAAGCATGATTATCACATTGTAGAGGACTAGCAACGTGTATTTTTCATATTAGCGTAAAATCTCGCCGACGACAAAGGGCCGCGTACGGTGTCAAGTACCGGTAGTTTAACGGTTCCAAATAAGCAAATCAATCTAGTTACTGTGAACTAAAGAGCACAGGGTGGGTGGGCGAGGTGCGTGCAGATTATTGACGGGTGTCATGGATCCTCCAGCCGTTGAAAGTTACACTGTCTCTACAGGTTGCTAGCGCGACGTCCGACTCAGTCAGGGCATCCGGCTCCGCGCCCTGTCCTCTATTCGAGGCAGCACTGCCAACTTCATCCGACCCAATAGCGGCTGCCTGCCTTCATTCATTAGCGGGTCGTCCTGGAGTTCCCCCAATGCCTAGCCCTGCACTATCATCCGCATATCACACCATATGCCAGCAATGGGCTCCTGACAGCTGGCATGAGATTCGGAGCCAATCGTGTGTGCTGCATAGCTGGCTGGTGCAGCACCGGCCTTGGATGCGCGACTTAAGTATATTCTGTCTGCTGTGGAGCACCTGTATGCGCGGCCACGACTGTGGGGAACTTCAGGCGGATGATCTTCGGGATCCCCTTCAAATCCGAACTCCTTCCGGGGCTTTCCACTTCCTCTGCCTGGAGCTGACGGCGGAGTTCCATCAACCTGCCGGCTGCAGATTGCGAAGCTACCGAAAGGTTTTCGTGCCTAAAAATGCATTTGGCTATCTTTATCATGCGGTGACCCTCAATAAAGGTGTTGTTTAATAGGAATACTAACATATAATAATGCATGGCATAGGAAATTTGGGGCGTTTGATCAGTGATTTCTGGTGAAGGCGGCACATCATGAACAGCCCAGAGGGTTGCAAAAACGGTCTAATCCCCCAATCCCGGGGGGTGGTAGTGGTCAGCCATCCCCCCATCCTGGCTGGGGTGACCGACTCCCATCTCCCATCTTAGGGGCCCGGTGCTAATCCCATCCTTTGAGACAGGTTTCCCATCCTGCCAGCCTGGGTCCTATCCCCAATCCTATGGCCAGGGTTTCCAATCCCATCCTGCAGCTGTGTTCCCCCAATCCTCATCCTGCCAGCCAGGGTCCCTTCCCAATCCCTTCGACCAGGGCCATCCCCATCCTGCAGCTGTGTTCAGATCCGAAAGCTGTCAGCCAGGGTCCCATCCCCATCCCTTGCCAGCTACAAACCTACTCCTTACGTTTACACAGGTGCTGTAATATCGGCTTTCTCATAGGCGTAAATCAGGGGAATGACCAGGGTTATTTTCTATTTCCGCGAGATATTTTTCTCTTGCTCTATGGCTTATTTCCTCTAGCGTCAAATTCCGCCCGGCTGTGTTCGTTCCGAAGCAGACTGAAGCGACAAACGCTCGTTGAAGCGGATCTCGACTGAGGAAGAACTCGCATCACAGAGGTCTACGTATCTAATTGCACACTGGCTGCTATTGCAAATCGCGCGTCCTAAGGGGGGAAGGACTGTTATGTTCGAAGGACGGCCACAGCAACAAATTATAATGCTGTGGTTAGAATGGCAGAACGTACAAGGGTGTTCTGTCAAAATGTCCATGGCTGGGAACGTGCACCATGGTTCAGGTTCATAGCGCAGGAGTTCAGCTGCACATTCCGGCGCCAACATTCCACGTTGGGTGCGCCAAAGCGCTACGATAAACAACCTGATAACATTACATCAAGCCAGACAGTCCAATTGGAATGCTTTTGAGTCGACTTGGACTTCTGCGCAAGAATTGCTCCTATGCACTATAATGTGCAGAGTTACGTGGAGTTGTGCCACAACAAAAAATACAGACTGCAAACTTTCTCAGAGTTGTGCATACTGGCTTGGGAATGCGGTGCGGCATGATGCGGCCAGCATCTTCGCGCCTTGCAACTTCAGCTCAGTTTGCATGAATATAACCAATAAAACATCGCAGTACTAGAGAAGCAGTTTGTATGAGGAAGTAACATGAAAGCTTAACAACTAACTCCAGGGTGGGCCTCACTTTGAGCCAGGACCCCCAAAGCGGCTTGCTGTTGATAACGTTTTGTTGGCTTAGATGCGACGGAGCGAAGCGACCGGATCGTCTAAGGCTGGTTCTGTGGTGCTGTCGTACAACTGGGTCGCAGTGGCGACTTCATTCTTGCTGCTCTCCTGGTGAAGTCATTATGCCTTCACGCAGAAGAGCAT